GCTTACATATTATTTTTTGCTTATTTTATATATATATATGTATGCTATATCGATGACGCGAATCATATATACTTAACATTAATATTAAATAAAAAAAGAAAAATAATAAATTTTTTTTCCCTTCTTGCGAATACTCAACACCTGTGTTATCATAATAAATATCAATCGATCGTATTGATATAACAAATAAAACGTGCGAGAAATTTTTTAAAAAAGTATTTTATTCATTTTCAGATATATAAAAATATTGAAATGCATTTTATTCTCGAGTAATATATTTTTGTTATTTTTAGTTTTGAAATAATATTTTTTTTTTTAATAGAATAAAAATAATAATAATAATATAAAAAAAGAAAAATAAAAATAATAGGTAATAATTGTTTTAATAAAAAAAATATATATATATATATATATTTTAATTGAAAAAATAAATAATATTAAAAAAAAAGTTTATTTTGCAATATTTTTGATTGAAAAAAAAATAATTTGAGCCGAGTTGAGGAATTTTTTCTACAAAGCTGAAGTACGCAACGTTTATATATAAACGATTTTTAAAGAAATAATTTTTTAAATTGAAAAATTCTATAATTTTTTGTCTAAAAAATATTTTTTTTTTTATAATTTGTTGATTATAATGAAAACTACAAGAAATATTTTTTTAGGCAAAAAATTATAGAATTTTTCATATTAAAAAATTATTTCTTTAAAAATCATTTATATTTAAACGTTGTGTATACTTTAGCTTCGTTTTTTTTTTATCTATGCGCAAGTGCATTGAAATAAACATCTTTCTAATATAAGTTGATACGAGAGAACAATTTTAAGATACGAATCAGCTGATAGGCTTTTATTCTGGTTATGACCTTCTATTCAGGGTCACATGCACTAATACAAGTGAATTTTATACACGTGTTTCACTTCACGTGTCTTGCATGGACAAGTGACGTTATTCGCACATTTCGCGTGTTCGAGGCCAAAAGATTACACAATTCTTCCGCTATTTTCTAAGTTACATTATACACGTACTTATTTAACTTGGACACGGTATATATGTATATAGGGCATTCCACGTAAGATTTTCATTCATTTTTTTTTAATTAAATTTTTATAAAAAATAAAGAAGTACGTAATGTTTTATTTTTTTCTCTCTAAATCTGAATTAGTAGTTTTTCTACTAATGAAAGAGTGCAGATTCGTTTACCAATTGAATTAGTAATCACAGTAAACTTGGTTTTCTCTTTTTCTATTGCAACGTTTTGATGCACATAAGTTATATCAAAAAGAGATCGTTTTGTGTATCATTTTTAGAAATGATACACGAAACGGTCTCATTTTTTGATGCAAAAAATTTAATCAATTTATATCAATCATGGCCGAATTGAATCGACTCAAAATTAAACGAATGTTTTTCAGATATTTTGGTAATAGTACAATTGCGGAGACCATTTCACTATTTAATTTAAAAATGAAAATAACAGAAAATCAAAGACAATGTGCAATTCGTTAATTAAAAAGTGACAGCTTATAAACATAACCTAAAATGCATGAGAAAAAATTTGTCGATAAAATCAATATAGCCGAGCTTTTTAGAAGTTAGATGGCAGTTTTGCTTTTTATAAAAACGATTCAGAAAAAATTTAAAGAAAGAAAATAGATGAGTGCTGCCATCTACCTTCTAAAAAGCTCGGCTATATTGATTTTATCGACAAATTTTTTCTCATGCAATTTAAGGTTATGTTTATAAGCTGTCACTTTTTAATTATCGAATTGCACATTGTCTTTGATTTTCTGTTATTTTCATTTTCAAATTAAATAGTGAAATGGTCTCCGCAATTGTACTATTACCAAAATATCTGAAAAAATTCGTTTAATTTTGAGTCGATTCAATTCGGCCATGATTGACATAAATTGATTAAATTTTTTGCATCAAAAAATGAGACCATTTCGTGTATCATTTCTAAAAATGATACACAAAACGATCTCTTTTTGATATAACTTATGTGCATCAAAACGTTGCAAAGATTTGATGCAATTTTTGGTCTCAATTTGAGACTTTTAGGAAAACTGTGAACAGATTTGACTCTATTTTAGTAGAAAACTACTAATTGCTAGTAGAAAACTACTAATTCATGGAGTAAATCGTCTTACTAATTTGAAATAGTAAAAAAAAATGACTTACTCCATAAATTAGTAGTTTTTTACTAAAAAAAAGAGTCAAAACTGTTACTAATTCAATTGATAAACGAATCCGTACTCTTTCATTAGTAGAAAAACTATTAATTCAGATTTAGAGAGTTAATTAAATGAAGATTGTGAAAGTTATGATTTATTTAAATTCAACGTCGTCAGAAGCCGAGTACTTTTGAAATGCGTTTATCTGTCTTATTTATAAATCTAAAAAGTGATTTTTCTCAAAACCAAAGTGATCGATTTTTGAAATTCATTTTTTGATAAATTTTAATTTTTTAGATGCTTTCGTTGTAATTACATTATTTTTTTACTACATATTTAAAATATTAAAAAAAAAATCCAACAAATTTCATAAATAATATTTTGTTTTATCTTTTAATAGAACAGAAAAAAACGCATTTCAAAAGTATTCGGCTTCGGACGACGTTAAATTTAAATAAATCATAACTTCCATAATTTTTATCAAATTAAAAAATAATAAAATATGTATTTTATTATATTTTATAAAAAGTACGAAAAAAAAATTGATTCAATAAAATTTCTTATACTCAAATGATTTATTTAAAAAAAACAACTTTCGAAGAAAAATATAAATAAAAAATTGTTTATAAAGTTTTACTTTTTTAAAAAAAAAATTTTGATAAAAGGCAATTTTGCCATATAGTTTTTTTAAAAATATATTTGTATGTTTTACTGAAACTATTGAGAATATTCGTATCGCAATTTATTGCAAATTTCCTGAATGACAAGTTTCCTAGGCCAAGGAAAATGTTGAATTGAAGGCAAAGCGATTTATTGTGATTACTCAGAGTTTCAAGTGCAAATATCTAAGTATGGTCATAAGAAGTAAATGTTGAGTCTTCACCTTCTCCCTCCTTTAAAAAAAAAAAAATTAATTATAAAAATCAAGTTTAAATAATTAATTGTGAAATTGATTTAAAAAAAGCAATCAACAAATTAAAAATGGTAAAAATTAATTAATGTAAAATTAATTATTAAAAAATAATTAATTTAATAAAAAAAAAAAATTATTTTATTCAAATAGTCAGTCACTTGACTATTATCAAATAAATATTTATTTCTATCAAGTAAATATTTATTTGTATTAAATAATTACTATTTGATTCATTTAAATCGTATTTGTTTCAAATACAAAAATTATTGTTTTACATACAGTTTATTTAATTTAAATAAAAATTATTTGGTTCAAGTAAATATTTATTTTCGATAATAGTAAAATAACCGATTATTTGCATCAAATAAATTTTTTTTTTCAGTGTAATAATTAAAAAAATTAATTTATTATAATAATTATTTTAAAAAATCAATTTATAATTAATCATTTAAAAAAATTAATTTATAATTTATTATTGAAGTCAATGAAGTACACAACATTTTATATGATCAAGAATTGAAAAAAAAAAAAATATTTTTCTTACGTAAAATTGTAAAATATATTTAACCTAAAAAAATTTTCTGTTACAAATATTATTTGTTGAAAAAAAAGTTGCAAAAATTTTAACACACAAAAAAATTATAACAATTTACATAGAAATATATATATTTTTCTTCGAATTCGTTTTGATCATAAACATTGTGCATTTCAATGATGACTAATTCTGTAGTTCTTATACATTTTCGTAACTAATAGACATTATTATTATTTTTTTCTTTTTTTAATCATTTTAACACATATTTTGGACAACAGTCACGTTTTAAACTTATTTAAATTTTTATAAATATTACTCATACAAAAATTGTTTTCTTTTTTAATATACGCAATTTATATGTTGTGTGCCTATAAACTTAAAATTAATATGCACGTCACGCGTGACAATATTTTTAATTATAAAAATAATTTTAATTTAATTAAAAGTTTAGAATTAAATTAACAATAATTAATTTTAAAAGAATTATAACATATTTGACGCTTTACGAGAAGAAGGGACCCTACTTCAAAAAAAAATTTAGGTTATGTTTAGTGATATGTAGTTTTACCTATATAGATAAAAAGTTTCTTTTTTATTTGGTAAAATCAAAATTAGTTTTTTTTTAAGTTAATGGAGACTGAAACATAAATGTTTTAATAGTTGAGACTCTGAGTTATTTCACTTCAAAAATCACAAATATAACCTACAATTTTTTTTGACGTAAGGTCCCGTCTCTCGTGAAGCGTCACATATATATGTTTTGTTTTAATCTCTCATTATTGTATACATATATAGTTATAGGTTCAGGTCGTCCTTGAGAGAAGCTAAAATTAATTTTTTAAACATTTACTCAGGTATTATTCTTTATTATTTATGAAGAATATTTTCCAAAAAAATATGTTTTGCAAATTTGTAACTTTCGAGTTTTGAAATGAAATACAGAATTTTGAAAATATCACAATTATTGTTATTATAATCATTTAATTATAAATTTTTATAGTAGGTACTATAATAATTTATTTAACAATATAGAAAATTAAATTAATTATATTGAAAATTAATCAATTAAATCATTATCAAATTATCTAAATAATTAAATAATTATCGAATCAATTTTTAAGGTATTTTTATGTTATTTTTTAAATATATAACATAGGCAATTTATTGATTATAAAGATTATTAATTAGTTATTATGTATTTAAATTAAAGAAAAAAAATTCACAGTCTTGAGGAATCGAACCCTGGCCCTTGCTGTTGTAAGTCCAGTAGAGAAGCCGCGTAGCCATGCCACTTGTTAATTACAGTTATTTTATATATATATTAAAAAAACTACTATTTTTTGCATTCACTTGATTAATATTATTCAATTTTGTTTTTAGGGCTGTGAAATCATTCCAAGAGGTGCTATGGGTGGAACCAGGATTTACTCGGGCCTGCGAGGTTCACATTCGATTAGGTTTAATGCTAAAAGTCCATGGTGACTTTGATGCTGCATTAAAACACTTGACCCTTGCGTTAATCGACGCAACCACACCTGCTTCTTTCTCCAAGCTTGAAAGTAAGTTTACATTTTTTTTTTATTTTTTTTTATACATCAAAAAAAAATTATATAGGTTATGTTTAGTGATAGTTTTACTATGATAAAATGTTTCTAATTAATTAGGTAAAATAAAAAAAAAACGGTTTTTATTAAATTTTTCGATAATAACATAAATATTTTATAGTTGATTATTTTTGTTTTTTTTTTAACTTTAAAAATCGCAAACATAACCTAGAAATTTTTTACCGTAAAATAAAATAAGATAAATAATTTTCCCTATTGTTTATTTATTTTTTTTTCTTTTCATTTTTAATAAAAAGAAAATTAAACTTAACTTTTTGTTAATTAATTAATTATAATAATCAATTAATAATTAGGAATTAATTAATTAATAATTAATTAAATTATTAATTTTTGTATGTATAAGGAAAAAAAAAGAAATTTTTTTTGACCTGTTAATTGTAATGATTGAAAATATTTTTTAAAAAAATTGTTGAAATTGAAATTTATGATTAATTAAATTGCAATCTATTTTTTAATGATTGACAAAACGTTAATGTTGATTCGATGAATTCTTTTTTGTTCACTTTTTTTTTTTTTTTTTTAAACTTGACCGCATTGCTTCCGCGTTGCAACGACAGCGACACTCAACTATATTAACGTTGACCTAGTTTCACTATCTCCAAGAGAAGCGAAAACGCAATTATTTTTACTCATCTTTATGAAATTCACAAGAAAAAAAAAAAAATTATATTACAATATATTTTTGAGGAAAAAAAAATTAATTAAAACTAATAGGGTCAGTTGGGGTAAATGGGGACAAAATCTCTATTTTTCACAAATTACGTAAGTTTCTTCCTTTAAAAAGTAATATTTGTGGGTTTATTTTTTTTTAAGTTGTTATTTACATTCCCAGGATAAATTTTATGAAGCAGAAAAAAATTTAGATATGCTTTAAACGCGCATGAAACTGACTGTCCCCATTTACCCCAAAATTTTGAAAATTTCATAAAATTTGGGGTAAATGGGAACAGCATAGTTTCTAGGAATGTTTTAAGAAAAAAGTTTCCTTAAGTATATTACTGTATTAAGGGATGAAAAAACTTGAAAAAAAAATTTGTAGTAAATATATAATAGTTGAACCAATTGAAATTTTTTTATTTTTTTTTTATTTCAGTATTTTGTCTCGCATTTGAAAAAAAAACAGACTTAAAAATCATACCAAATTTTTTTCTTATTCCTTTTGACACCCATAACAGAAATTTACTTGAATTTTTGATTTTTGTCAATTTGGTTAATAATAACAAGCTGTCCCCATTTACCCCAAAAATTTGAAAACTCAGGGTAAATGCTCTCTAAATCTGAATTAGTAAAAATGTTTACTAATTTGAATTAGTGACTCACTTTTTGCTTCTGAATTAGTAAAATTTTACTAATTATTAGTAACTTTTACTAACAATTAGTAACATTTAACTAATTCTAAAGCAAAAAGGTGAGTAACTAATTTAAATTAGTAAAGATTTTTACTAATTTAGATTTAGAGAGTGAGGACAGCTTGTCATTATTAACTAAATTGACAAAAATCAAAAATTCAAGTGAATTTCTGTTATAGGAATCATAAGGAATAAGAAAAAATTTTTGTATGATTTTTAAGTCCGTTTTCTTTGAAATACTCGACAAAATACTGAAACAGTTTGACTTTGATTTTCAAGTTTTTATGCATTGAGCGAGAAACTTTTTTTATCTTGATGCCAATTGTCAAGATAAAAGCTTGGCAATACTCAAAACCTCTTGCAGGTGATGTGAGGTTAAAATATTTACGTTGAACTTCATTTTAAAACTGTAAATTAAGCTCCAAAACCTCTTGTACCCATTTACCCCAACTGAGCCTATATTAAATTTTTTTATTATTATTTTTTTTTAATTTGCTTTTCTATGAGTTTAGTAAAAGATTGTTGGAAAAATAACTCGTTTAAAATTTTTTAGAATTTATTTAGTTTGAATTAGCACGCTTATGTTTAGACAAATTTTTCAATTAAATAATGAAATAATAATAATAATTATTATTATTATTATTATTATTACTATTATTATTATTATTTTAAAAAATCTGTACATTATATAAAATAAAATGTGCATTTAAGCAAAAAATTAATTAAACATCTTAACTAATAATTATATTATTATTATAATTATTAATAATAACATTAAATAATAAAATTTTTTTAATAAAATATTTTTTGACCAAAGAAATTGAACACAGTTTTCCTAAAAGTATCAAATTGAGACCAAAAATTGCATCAAATCTTTGCAACGTTTTGATGCACATAAGTTATATCAAAAAGAGATCGTTTTGTGTATGATTTTTAGAAATGATACACGAAACGGTCTCATTTTTTGATGAAAAAAATTTAATCAATTTATATCAATCATGGCCGAATTGAATCGACTCAAAATTAAACGAATTTTTTTCAGATATATTGGTAATAGTACAATTGCGGAGACCATTTCACTATTTAATTTAAAAATGAAAATAACAGAAAATCAAAGACAATGTGCAATTCGATAATTAAAAAGTGACAGCTTATAAACATAACCTTAAATTGCATGAGAAAAAATTTGTCGATAAAATCAATATAGCCGAGCTTTTTAGAAGGTAGATGGCAGCACTCATCTATTTTCTTTCTTTAAATTTTTTCTGAATCATTTTTATAAAAAGCAAAACTGCCATCTACCTTCTAAAAAGCTCGGCTATATTGATTTTATCGACAAATTTTTTCTCATGCAATTTAAGGTTATGTTTATAAGCTGTCACTTTTTAATTATCGAATTGCACATTGTCTTTGATTTTCTGTTATTTTCATTTTCAAATTAAATAGTGAAATGGTCTCCGCAATTGTACTATTACCAAAATATCTGAAAAAAATTCGTTTAATTTTGAGTCGATTCAATTCGGCCATGATTGATATAAATTGATTAAATTTTTTGCATCAAAAAATGAGACCGTTTCGTGTATCATTTCTAAAAATGATACACAAAACGATCTCTTTTTGATATAACTTAAAAACGTTGCAATAGAAAAAGATACAACCAAGTTTACTGTGATAATATATCAAAAATAAATTCCGACATTTTTGGATAAGACACAATTATTATTTTTTTCTATTTTGTAAATGAAAGCTAAAGTGTTTTTTTTTCGCATAAGGACGTATATAGATAAAAAAAAATGGACCTAAAATATTTTTATTTTTCACCTTGATCATTTCACTTGAAATCCTTCCATATTATAATATACTTTGTGTATATATATAGTAGTAAAAAATGTGAACCTTGATAAATTATATTGTTCTTTTTATAAAATTTTAACACTTAATAGCATTTGAAAAATAATGTTGAGTTCTCTTTCTCTCTAGATTTGTTATAAATTCCATGAATTATCTATTTCTATATTGCCATTGGCCATATTTCTTTGGCGAAAATTATTATAATGTCTATATCATTAAAAGATCGATACACTCGACACAAGAGACTAATAACTGCAATTTCTGCAAAACGTTTGTATCCTTTCTATATATATATATATTTTATGGATATATGATTTTCGCGAAATAAATGACCTTGCAATAAACATATTATAACTTATTATTATATATATAGACTCTATAAGAGCGCGCGGTTTTGTTCAATCAGAAAAAGCTTTGAACTTTTTTTTTATTAATTTAATTTTTGCTTTTTAAATTTTACCAAAAATTTTTATACTGATAAAAAGTGGTTTAAGGTTATGTAAGAACCTCCCACGTGACCTATAGTATGGGAAAATGTGTTTTGGTAGTATACTTTTCACTCTAAAATGAGAAAAGATTTTTGTCTAAAATTTTGAAGGATGATACATTAGGGTACAAGGAATCTCGCTGTTCTCCGAAAAATACATAATTTTGAGTTAAATAATTATAAAATGATGTTTAAAAAGTGGCATTTTTAAACGAAAATGAAAACAAAGATGGCGGCGCATACACAGACGTTGCTTGAGTGTGTCAGTGCTCTAGTAATCAGCGCCAATTCAAGCAAGTGGCCCCTGAATGAACTATGATTAAACACATTTTTTTTTACTATTTATTGCTTTATTTTTATTATATTATTTTTGCGTTAAGTTATGGTAAATTAGTAGAACAGCGAGATTCCTTGCGTACCAAACAAAATCATTTCTCCAAAAATTTTAAACCAAAATCATTTTTTATTTCAGAGTAAGCTTCAAATCACAAAAAAAACGTCTTTTGCCCACATACCCTTAAAGGAAATTTATTAATAAAAATGAAAAATTCAATATTAAGTTTAAAAATTTGGGCAAATGAAAGTATGGACAAATTAAAAATGGTCGAAATCACTAACTTAGTCATTTTTAATTCGGCCTAAATAGAAATTAAGTTAAATATTAATAATTGTGCTAAATGAATTTTGAAAATTTCATTAAGTGAAAATTTGGTTGAAGAAACAATTTTTTCAGAAAAAAAACAATTGTTTTTGTAAATACAACAACAAATAAAATAAATCCACAATTGAATCACTACACAAAATTAAATGATTTAAAGTAGAAAATTTTCCTTATTTTTTCCTTGTTTCATATCCAAAAAAAATTCGGTTATTTGGTGTTAATTTGCTCAAAGTTTTAGTTTAGTTTTTTTTTTTTTGGATCTATATATCAATCAAAAAATTTTACTTTGACAAAATTAATTTTAATATTCTCAATTTTGATAGTTTAAACAAACAAAAAAATTTGTTTATCAATAAAATTAAAAATAAAAATTCATTTTTTTTTTCAATAAAAAGTTTCATGTACAACTGAACTTTAAACATACTAAAATAAAAAAAGGTCGCGGCCTATTTTCCTAATATAATCAATTTACTTTTGTTTTATTTCCAGTTTCTTTAAAAATAAATGTCCATATGAGAATATGAATTTGAACAAAATTATAGCAAAAATAACAGGTTATTTAAATTTTGTTTCCAAGAGACAATTTTTTAAAAATTCTATTTGCAGAAGACAAAAATGTAATTGAACTATATTTATTTAAATTGAACTGTTTGACTAAAACAAGTATAGATGTACTTATAATATAAAAAAAAATAATAATTAAATTAATAATAATAAATCAAAATAAATAAAATTAATTAATAAAAATGTGAAAAAAGTAAATAAAAATAAAAAAATAATATTAAAAATATAACAAAAATATGTATAAAAAAAATAATTAAACAAATGAAACAATTGAGCGATTTTTTTTAACTGCAAATAATTGATTTCGTTAGAAATCTATATTTATACTGAATGTTTAACAAGTAATCCCCCTTAAATTCAACTGAATCATATCAATATTTATGATATTGATGATGATTCAACGAAATTAAATTTAGTTTTTCCAAGGATATGTATACGCGCGATTCACATTCATTCGTACCTATAACAATTTGTAATTTCCAAGAAAAATTCATATATAAATAAATAATATATGTGTGTGAATTGATTTTGTGGAAATCGACAATAATGACGAATAAGTTCCGTATATATTCAACGACCGTGAAATCTAAACTCTAAGTATATACACGAAACATTAAGCAAATTATTTATTCTCTTTCGCGAATATTTTATTGGTTCAAAAATCAAAATTTCAATTTCTCACTAATTATTCAAATTTTCTTTTTAAATATATTTAAATTCTTGATTTTACAGTCTTTTATTATTTTTTTTTATTTTCCATATGTATTTTGTTTGTCATTATAATAGATGTATTAATCAACCAAATTTTGGTTCAAAATCCACTAAAAATTTACTTGGCTCAATTAAATTCTTTCTTCGATCGAAAAATTTATTACAATAGACCAAATTTTTATTTAGATCAAATAAATAGATATATTTTTTTTAATCAAATATAATAAAAATTGTTTAAAAATAATATTGTTATTGACAATTTATAAAATAATATTGTTTGAAATGACCAAAAAAGTGTGTTAATAAAAAAAAATGGTATATTTAGTTTAAATAAAAATTTTTTCGAATGCATTTAGGGTCAGCCGGGGTAAATCCGAACGCTTTTAGTATAAGTTTCAACAATAACATAAGTTTTTTCTTTTAAAAGACAATACTTCCGGTATTCTGGTGCATGAAGTTGTTACTTTACTTCCATAGAACAATGTTATAAGGGTAACAAAAATTTTTGATAAATTACAATCGCAGGAAACTTAGCGTTCGTATTTACCTCGATACTTTGCAACTTTCCTAAAATACCGGGGTAAATACGAACGCCACTGTATTTCAGAAAAATCTTAGGGAAAATAAATTTAAAGTATTGCAATTGTTAAACTTATATAAAAACTCAAAAAAAATACGATAATAAACTTATTATGTAATAATGCATCATATATAAATGAGGCATTCTATTTCAACTCGTTCCACCTTCAAAAGACGATCGCTAGCAGAGCGTTTTTCAAGAGATTTTTATTATATAAAAAAGAAAATAATATTATAATGTTATACACTATTTCGAAAGAGAATTTAATGATCTTTCGATTGGTCTTAACATTTTTTTAATTTTCTCACAATTTCATACAGAAATCTTGATTTGAAATATAAAACTCATGATATCTCAAAACACACCCCCTTCAATTTTATTTTAATATATATGAAAATAAAGCTTAGTTTTTCTAGTTTCAAACTCCGTTTGGTTTATCATGGACATTTGTGAGGATTTTTGGATAACAGTGATTCAAAATATGTGTTTTTGAAAACTTTGACACGAAGTATGAAGTTGAATCCTAACCCGCATTCAACCTACGTCACACACGAATTTCATTGTTTTGAAAAAAATCACAACCTGTACAATAATTTATTTGAAATATTTATTTATTTATACAATAATTATCTTTAAATAAATAATTTGAATAAATGTGTTCTAAATATTTTAAATTTAATCTTCTAATAGCTTTTATCTTTCATTAGCATAATTTTTATTATTTATAAGAGACAAATAAAAAGCAATATTAGTACGCAATATTGCGAATTTTTGCACCGTGATAATAATTGTTGCTATATGAGAACAATTTTCCTAATTTTTTGTACTTCTGAGATTTTTAAGCAAGAGTCAAAGTATGATTTACTCTACAAATTTTTTAAAAAAATTTCTTAAAAAAAAATTTAATGAATCTAAAACAATTTCAGGAACACAAAAATATCACACCTTCATTCCTGTTTCTGAAACACAAATGCTTTTAAAAAAATATTCTTTGTCCGAGGAAAGTAAATTTTTCAAAACTAAATAAAGAAAAAAAATTTGTTATTTAAAAATTAGTATTTTTTCAAGGACTATAATTCTTCTGCGTTTAATTTTTGCTGAAATAAAAATTCACAGTTTTCCTAAAAGAATCAAATTGAGACCAAAAATTGCATCAAATCTTTGCAACGTTTTGATGCACATAAGTTATATCAAAAAGAGATCGTTTTGTGTATCATTTTTAGAAATGATACACGAAACGGTCTCATTTTTTGATGCAAAAAATTTAATCAATTTATATCAATCATGGCCGAATTGAATCGACTCAAAATTAAACGAATTTTTTTCAGATATTTTGGTAATAGTACAATTGCGGAGACCATTTCACTATTTAATTTGAAAATGAAAATAACAGAAAATCAAAGACAATGTGCAATTCGATAATTAAAAAGTGACAGCTTATAAACATAACCTAAAATGCATGAGAAAAAATTTGTCGATAAAATCAATATAGCCGAGCTTTTTAGAAGGTAGATGGCAGCACTCATCTATTTTCTTTCTTTAAATTTTTTCTGAATCGTTTTTATAAAAAGCAAAACTGCCATCTACCTTCTAAAAAGCTCGGCTATATTGATTTTATCGACAAATTTTTCTCATGCATTTTAGGTTATGTTTATAAGCTGTCACTTTTTAATTATCGAATTGCACATTGTCTTTGATTTTCTGTTATTTTCATTTTCAAATTAAATAGTGAAATGGTCTCCGCAATTGTACTATTACCAAAATATCTGAAAAAAATTCGTTTAATTTTGAGTCGATTCAATTCGGCCATGATTGATATAAATTGATTAAATTTTTTGCATCAAAAAATGAGACAGTTTCGTGTATCATTTCTAAAAATGATACACAAAACGATCTCTTTTTGATATAACTTATGTGCATCAAAACGTTGCAAAGATTTGATGCAATTTTTGGTCTCAATTTGATACTTTTAGGAAAACTGTGTTTCGAGCGAATCCAATGAATTTTTCAAATTCTCGTCCTCCATATTGGATCCGCCATTTTAAATTTTGAAAAACTGACTTGAAATTGGTAATCAGCGACCCCAAAAACCGTAGAATACCAAATTTTATTAAGATCCTGAAAAACTTTTTTCAACAAACCATTTGGCAAAAAAAGTGGAACACTCCTTCGAGAGAACAGAGATTAAGTTTCTGCTTATTAATTACTAACGAAGATACATATAGAAAGAAAAACTTTTTTCTATGTACTTTCATAATGTTAAAATAATAGTGTAATCAAATAAAAACAATTTTTGATATAAGAAAAAATTATTGAAAATACCGTTCGGATTTACCACGGTTTTCCAATTTTCCGGGGTAAATACAAACGGTCTGATATTATTATAATAAAATTTTACAGAAGGCAAAAATGAAAAATAGTTTCTGTTCTAGTATTCATAACAAACAATTATAAATAATAAAATGAATTTTTAGCTTCTTTTTCTTCAAATACGAGACAAAATACTGAAAGAGTGTCATCTTTGATTTTCAATCTTTTTTGCAATACTCGTTATCTTTGTTTATGCTGTTGCTAATTAACAAACGAAAAATGGGATAATACTTAGAATCTCTTATTTGAAGAGGATCTGAGGTAAAAATTCTCATGTCTAACATAATTTTTTAAATTTTAATTAAACTGAAATAATTAGCGTTCGGATTTACCACGGCTGACCCTATTAGGTTGTTTTATTACAAAAACTATTTTCTAATTAAAATAAAGAATTTAAATTAAAATTACATGTATAAATAAATTATGAAGAGATTTATATTACAAGAGTGTAAATAATTTTTTTTTTTTACTTGATTCTTACATAATTAATTTTGAATGTAATTGACCTTTTTTCCATTTTCTTTTTTTTTCAGTTAAATTCCACATTGCACACCTGCATGAAGTTCAGGGCAAATATCGTCTGGCAAAGGATCATTACGAGACACTGCTTAAGGAAAAAAGTCTACCCTCCCATCTCAAGGCTGATATCTGTCGACAGCTGGGTAAGTCTCCCTTATATGATTGTGTTACTTTACTCTCGACACGATAGCAGAAATGCCATTCGATTTCATCTTCTTATTCGTGTCTTGTGTTCTTCTTATTCTTCTTCTTCTCTTGCGCATCTTTTCAAAAACGTGAGAATTTTCTGCAAGTGGTTATGTCATATTTATTCGATAAATACACAGCGCTGATACTCTTTCGTAATATGTGGCATTTCACGTGAGATTTTCATTAAAAAAAAAAATTTTTCTACTTGAACAATTTTTTTTTCAAACTTTTGACGAAAAATAAGAAAATACGTATTTTTTTATTTTTTTCTTAAATAAAAATTGTGGAAGTTGTGATTTATTTAAATAAATAAATTATTTCAAAAGTCGATCACTTCGGTTTTTGAGAAAAGTCACTTTTTAGACTTAAGTTTTTTTAGATTATTTCATTGTTATTTTTTACTACAATTTAAAATATCAAAGAAAAATGAACAAATTTTATATATAAAATTATTTTTTATTTGATAGTAGGAAAGAAAAAAGTGAATTTTAAATGTATTCGGCTTCTGACGACGTTGAAATTAAATAAATTATAACTTCCAAAATTTTTATTTAATTAAAAAATCAAAAAATACGTATTTTCTTATTTTTTATAACAATTTCGAAAAAAATGCTCGAGTCAAAAAATTTTTTTTTAATGAAAATCTCACCTATGAGTAATTTTAAGTAAAAAAAATATATTTCTGCAATAGTTGCTCAAACTTGGGTAATTTGTACTTCTATTGGATGGTAATTCTTTATAAAAAAAAATTTTCCATTTTGAACAATATTTTTTCAGAGGAAGAGGGGATGACATTTTTTTTTTTCAAAAATACATTTTACCAATGACACGGATGTCAAAAAAGCTATTAAAACTTATATTGAAAAAAATATTTATTTCAATTCAAAAAAAATTATTTTATTTTTTCAAAAAATTCAAAGTTTAACTTTTTTTTTAAAAATAAAAAATTTTTTTTACTTTTTTTTTTGAAAAAGGACTTTTTTTATTTTTTTTTCTTTTGTCTTAAAGTAAAATCTAAAATGTATACTTCCAATAAAAAAAATAATTTTTTTTTTTGTTTTCGAGATATTATACATAATTAATTATTTATTTCCACCTACACCTTTTAGTAGGTCTTTACGTATTGATTTTCAAAGCCTTACAATATACATATTAATTAATTAAAGTTAATAACAAATGAAATATTTCACAAATAAATAAATTTAAATCAAATGAAAATTTTTTATTTTTATTTACTTTGTAATAAACTTAATTTTACATTTAAATTATATATTATTTATATATTTTCTTCAAAAATTATAATCAAAATTGAAACGAAGAAAATTTTATTGAGACAGGAAAAAATTTTGTTAAGTCAATAAAAAAAATAAAAAAAATTTATGTAGATATTGCAATAAATATTTCTTGCAAAATATTTTATTGTCAAAAATTTAAATAATTTTCTTTCACACAGAAAAAAAAATTTCATCTGAAACAGCCATATGTTTCACTAAAATAGCAAAAGTTTTCGTTATTTTAAAAAAACATATGTCTGTTCCAGTTAAATATTTTTTTCCGTGCCGTATAAAAAGTTGAATTTCTTCTATATATTATTTTAAATATTTCCGTGTTCTAAATTTAAAATTATCTGCTTTTATTTTAAATTATAAAATGAAATAATTGTAAAAATTTTTATTAACTTCATTATTTGTTTCAAATTTTCTCCATGGCAAAAAAAATAATATTTCTTTTCTAAAATATTGTTGTGTTAAATTTAAATAAATAATTGTTTATTTTTTAAAATAATATTTAGTCATTTTTTTTTAATATCACAATAAGATTTTTTTTTATAATTTCATTTAACTGCAGAAATATAAAATTGATATTGATAATCAAAAAAAGTCCGTTTACATATAAATAAGTAAATAAATAATAATAATAATAATAATAATAATAATAATAATAATAATAATAATGGGTCATTCCATTATATTTCATCTGAAGTCGTTGCGGCTTATTTTTAGAAAAATCTGATAATTTGTAATAATGATATTTAATATCCGTACAATTCATTTTTGGCAAATTTTTTATAAAATTATTTGTATTTGCTTTGGAATTTTAATTTTTAAGTTGAGGTGCACGGAAAAAGGTTATTTTGACAGCTTTGGAAATTTAATCAAAAAACACAAAAATAATTTAGATAGAATAAATTTTTTGTTTGATATATATTCAAAATAGTTCAATTTACTTATATTAATTGATTTCTATGTTAAAAAGTCCAAAATATTATATGAAAATTGATTTTTAAACTTGCCTGTCAAATGCCAAAATTCACCATATTTTTATTACATTTTTCTAGAAAGTTAATAAATATTTAAAAAATTATTACAGCTTAATATTAAGTACTTTCAATGTACTTTCATATGATGCGCTGACTTTTTAATATTATGTAGTAGAAATAGGAAAAATTTTACTTTGAATGTTGAACTTTCCAGGATTTTCGGTGATTTTGAACACTTGTATCTCCTCAGGTGCAAAATAAAAAAATCCAATTTTTGTCTTAATATTTAAGTTAGACCTTGTTTTCCATTCTGTCAAATTTTGGCGATGGATTTCGAGCTATTTTATGGTTTTATTCATTTTTGAAAATCAGCTTCGAAAAACGAAATTGAAGGTTAAAATGCAAGTGGTTCTGCGATGACTGAAGTTGGCTTGAAACTCTTATGAATGACATTTAAAATTAAATAATTACTTCAAAGTAAATTTTATTTAAAAAATTTATTGGGAGTTAATTGTGAGGAGCAATTAATAGTAATTGTCATATATTAAATACTAAAGTATAACTCCCAATAAATTTTTTAAATAAAATTTACTTTCAAGTAATTATTTAATTTTAAATGTCATTCATAAGAGTTTCCAATGATGTAAAAAATAATAAAAATCAAAATTTTATTTACTAAGCAATTTTTAATATTATATTTTCTTTAATGATTTAAATAAATCTTATAAATAATATTTTTAAAGAATTATTATGAATTTTAATGTTCAAATCTTATTTGCAAACTTAAATTTGAATTTAATCAAATACATCGATATCAAGACAGCCAACTTCAGTCATCGCAGAACCACTTGCATTTTAACCTTCAATTTCGTTTTTCGAAGCTGATTTTCAAAAATGAATAAAACCATAAAATAGCTCGAAATCCATCGCCAAAATTTGACAGAATGGAAAACAAGGTCTAACTTAAATATTAAGACAAAAATTGGATTTTTTTATTTTGCACCTGAGGAGATACAAGTGTTCAAAATCACCGAAAATCCTGGAAAGTTCAACATTCAAAGTAAAATTTTTCCTATTTCTACTACATAATATTAAAAAGTCAGCGCATCATATGAAAGTACATTGAAAGTACTTAATATTAAGCTGTAATAATTTTTTAAATATTTATTAACTTTCTAGAAAAATGTAATAAAAATATGGTGAATTTTGGCATTTGACAGGCAAGTTTAAAAATCAATTTTCATATAATATTTTGGACTTTTTAACATAGAAATCAATTAATATAAGTAAATTGAACTATTTTGAATATATATCAAACAAAAAATTTATTCTATCTAAATTATTTTTGTGTTTTTTGATTAAATTTCCAAAGCTGTCAAAATAACCTTTTTTCCGTGCACCTCAACTTAAAAATTAAAATTCCAAAGCAAATACAAATAATTTTATAAAAAATTTGCCAAAAATGAATTGTACGGATATTAAATATCATTATTACAAATTATCAGATTTTTCTAAAAATAAGCCGCAACGACTTCAGATGAAATATAATGGAATGACCCTAATAATAATAATAATAATAATATTAAGTTGAGACGAAATATTTATAAATTTTTAAATAAAGTATCGCGGATATTTTATAAGACAAAAAAAAAATAGATAAAAAAAATAAAATAAATCCCTGAATGAATTAATGATGAATGGATTTTTTTTTTAGTTGAAAAAAGCGATATTGAAAAATTCGATTTTGAGACAACGAACTTCCTGCTTTATTCACTCCCTTCATCCTCCTCCCCCATTGGGTTTCGGGTTTTGGTTTAAGGTTCAGCGGGTATATACACCAAGCAGCAGACACATGTATTGATTTATTCCGGATTGGGGGTGGGTTAGAAGATGCGATGGAGGGGAATGCAAGAGGGGAGAGTTGTAGAGAAAGAGAGAGAGAGAGAGAGACGTACATATATGTATATGATCTAGAAGGAAAAGAAAAAGATAGAAAAGAGAGAGAGAGCGAGATAACGAATAGTGAATGGAAGTGCAAGTGAGACGAAAAATTGTGAGAATCCCCCCTACCCCCCTCTTTTTCTTGTACTCTTTATTTTCACTATCTTTCATACACGCATGTATTTGTATATACCTGGCAGATGGGATATACACGGACACTTTTTTAAAAATCCCAACTCATCTGACACATACATATTTATATATAATATATGAGAATTCTATTTCCCGTTTGCAAAAACTTATATAATTATTCTGCTAAAGAGACAATTTCTACAAAATTTGTTCATTGTAGAAACGCATGCACGCAGAAACTTTGTCGTTTTTCTTAAATTCAGTATATATTTTTAGTAAATTGATTATCAAAGTGGGGGAAAAACTGTAAAGAAAATTTCGTAGTAATAATCGTGTCCAACGTTGATTAATTTCCTTGATACGATGAGAACTTGTCCCTTCGTTTTTGTATTTTTTTTTAAAAAACTTTATTAATAAAAATCACAACATTACACATAAAAGAGTATAAACAAATTCCTTTAGAAAACGCTCTATACAATTTTTTTTTTTTTTTCATAAAATGACATGCCTCAATCTGTAGGAACTCACAATCAGTCATTGTCGATATTTTACACCGTCGTGTTTACATTAAACAAGTCACCAGACAAGTCCGAGACGAGTAACTTTTAATTTCTGTAAATT